ATATATATAGAGAGAACTATTAATTTATAAAACTTCCTCCCAGCGTATAGCTGGACAGCTGCTGGTTACACAGCACTAGTGCCCCTAGATGGTGCTGAAGAGTATTCTATTTCCTATACTCCTCTGTGCCATCCAGGGATGCTACTGCTGTGCAAAGTTTTATATATAAAAAAAAATCAAACCTAATAATGTGTAACTTCGATTGCGATATTCAGCTTCAAACAAAACAGAGACGAATGCAGAAAAAAAAAGGAAATGTTAATCGCAAAAGTAAACATGATATGTACATACAAAAAATGTACAAAACATATATTATACATAGTATAATGTATACATAGATACATAATCATAAAGTAGATGTAAACATGCTTTAGAGGGTGACAGAAGCGCTGTCACCCTATAAAAGGAAGTGTCTGAACATGGATCTTCATAGGGTCCCCTTCTTCGAGCCTGATGAAGGGGACCCTGTGTGGCCCTGAAACGTAATTTGTTATCACATGAAGCGTCAATAAACAGACGTTTTTCTTCATTTCAATATGGTGTGCTGGTAATATCTTTACTAAGTTCTGGTTTATAAATCATCCCCTATGATTGTATTTTTTTAATTTTAGAGATCACCGGCATTTGGCTGTAACTGGAAGTCATTATACTATTATCTCCCTCACACATCTTTCATCATTTGTTCTAATTTATGCTACACTGCTTGCCTGCATAGAAGTGTCGGCACCAAAATCAGAGCCCAGCCACATTAAAGGAACCAGTTTTCATATAATTAAGGGCTTAACCTTAAAAACCTTTAAAATTGCTCTTACTGTAATAGAATTATTATTTCTGACAGCCGCTGGTCTAAGACATAGAAATAAGGAATTATAGTCCATAATAGGGATGCACCGAAACCGGTTTTTCGGTATCGAGTACGAGTACCAATATTTATCTTTCGGTACCCGCCAATACCGAGTACCGATACTGGTACTTCCGCTAGCATGGAGCTGGCTTCCCAGGCCAATCAGGAAGCCGGGTGGTGTGTCTTTACCCACCGCCTGGCTTGTTGATTGCTCGGGAAGCTCGCTACATGCTGTTTGGCCTGTCTCGATGCTGATTGGGAAGACGGCTTGCCAGTGAATCGGCATCAAGCCAGCCAAACAGCATGGATTTGGCTTCCAGGCCAATCAGGAAGACAGACGGCGAGTCATTACCTTCCACCCGGCTTCCTGATTGGTTAGGAAGCTGGCTTCATGTTCCCTTGTGGCACTGCCGGACAGAGGAAATCTACCTCTGAGCGGAAGTTCCGGCATCAGGGGTAAGAATTTGGGCGCGTATGAGTACTCGGTATCGGTTCATCCCTAGTCTATAACTAATCTCAAGTAATTCACTTTTATTTTGATGCAGTGGGCATAGGATGATTTTTTTGAGGGAAAGCCCAAATGAACTTTCAGTGTAAATCAGCTAAATACATGAAAGGTGCATCAAACCTAAAGGTGTGCAAAGGGTTACACTTAATTTTTGTAGAAAGCGGCCACAGTCTGAGTAATAAAGCCTGTCCTCCCTGCATATAGCCAGATAGATGCTGGTCACGTGGCACTAGCGCCCCTCAATGGCATTGATGAGCCTATAAATTCCTATACTCGTCAGCACCATCTAGGGGTGCTAGTGCCATGCGAACGCCATT